TTCATCAGGGAACTGTCTGGAGACTGTATAGTGATGTTGCATCAGACAGCAGGCTCAGAAGGGACCTGCTGGCCTTGGTTCCTGGGTTGCCACAGCTGACACCACTCTCAGGTCCAGAGCACCCGGTCTATACAGGGTTCAGCTTTGCTGCACCTGCCTCCACATCGACCCTTACCAGGTCAGGAAGGGAGCAGGGAGAGCAGACATTCTCCCACGCCAGTAACTAGGAGCCAAGCGTCCCCTTCCCAGCATGAAATTCAAATGGAGCAGGCACCAATGCCACTCCAGAGGTCTCACGGTAGCAGTCGCAACAGGACTTGCATGAGGAGACAGCTCCAGCCATCCAGCAGTCCAGCCCCCACAGCCCAGCACACCGACAAGCAGAACAAGACCCCCCCACAGACACACACCCTGTACACACATCTCCGCCTGTATGATACCATGCAGAGGTATACCCCCGAGAGGACCTATGCCCCTGCAGATCAGCACACTGTTAGTATCACCTTGATACCAAAGCCAGGAAAAGACACAATGAAAAAAGAGAACTAAAAACCAATATCCCTCATGAACATTGATGTAAAATCCTCAACAAGATATTAACAAATCAAATTCAGCAGCATATCAAAAAGTTAATTCATCATGATCAAGTGGGTTTCATCCCAGGGATGCAAGGATGGTTCAACATACTCAAATCAATAAATGTGATTCACCACATAAACAGAAGCAAAAGCAAAAACCACATGATCATCCCAATAGTTGCAAAAAAAAAGCATTCAATAAAATCCAGCACCCTTTCATGATAAAAACTCTCAACAAAGTAGGCATAGAAAGAACATATCTCAAAATTATAAAAACCATAAATGACAAACCCACAGCCAACATCATAATGATTTGGGAAAAGATGAAAGCATTCCCCCTAAGAACCGGAACAAGACAAGGGTACCCACTGTCACCATTACTATTCAACATAGTACCAGAAGTCCTAGCCAGAGCAATCAGGCAAGAGAAGGAATTAAGGGGCATCCAAATCAGAAAAGAAGAGGTCAAACTATCACTGTTTGATGACATAATCTTGTATGTAGAAAACCCTAAAGACCCTACCAAAAGACTCCTAGAATTCATAAAGTCAGCAGAGTTTCAGGTTACAAAATCTATGTACACAAATCAGTAGCATTTCTATATACTAACAATAATTAAACTGAGGGTCAAATCAAGGACTCAAAACCATTTACAATAGCTATGAAGAAAACAAAATACTTAGGAATATATTTAAACAGGAAGGTGAAAGATCTCTACAAGGAAAACTACTGATGAAAGAAATTACAGATGACACGAACAGATAGAAAAACATCTTATACCCATGGACTGGTAGAATCAACGTCATTAAAATGTCCACTCTCCCCAAAGTGATTTACAGATTCAATGTGATTCCCATCAAAATACCAATGTCTTATTTCACAGATCTAGAAAAAATAATCCTAAACTTCATCTGGAACCAAAAAAGAGCCCAAATAACTAAAGCGATCTTAAGCAAAAAGAACAAATCTGGAAGCATCACATTATCTGATTTCAAAGTACATTACAAGGCTATAGTAAACAAAACAGCTTGGTGCTGGTATAAAGGTAGACACATAGATCAATGGAACAGAATAGAGAACCCAAAAACAAAACTATGTAGCTACGACCAGCTGATCTTTGACAAA